GTTTACCTTGTTATCTTGTTTATTTTTTACATGTTTTATAACAATTTGGAGTGGATGTCAACAAGGTCAATCTTATTTTGGTGAACAAATAAATTAAATGAATAAGCAATTTGTCCAGTCCAGTTTAAAAATTATTTTTGTCCTATCATTCTATAGTTGAACAATAGAAGAATCCTAAATTGTCTTGTATAATCAAGGGTAACAAATGTTTTTGAAAGTTTTCCCCTTAAAAAAAAATAAATAAATCTATAGCATATGCCTAATCTGACCAGGTCAAATTAACAAAAAAAATTGGTCTCATCATCAACACATTTTAAAATTTATATATTTGGTTTTATTGTACCTATTTATTATGATACTAAAATAATGTTATCAAATCTTAGTGGATAAATACCACCTAAAAACCTTATTTTTTTAGGCCACAATTACAATAATTCCAAGATTGTTTTCCCCAATTTTTCCTTATGGAAAAGTACCCTATCTATTAAGGTTCTAATGATAGTTAGCATGAGGTAGTTCATGTTGAAAACTTTCACTTATCCTAATTATACAACACATGATACTGTAATCAAAACTAGACAGTGTTTTAACTTCCGTCTATTTTTAGCACAATTATGCTCAAATATTTTGAGCTTGGTTTCAGCATGGTTTCAGTTTTGCTTTCAGATTTCAAGGCAATGAGCTAATCAAGTCGGATTAAGTATTCAATGTTTCCCTGTCTACAGATAAAACATAAAATTCAATTAAATTAAAGTCAGTTCCGGGAGATCTGCAGGGAGGGATGTTTGGGTTAGGGTTGGGAAGTCGAAGGTTGGGGCATGGAGGGACTTTCATATTGATGGAGGGTCTATACCACATCAGCTCCACCATGGTTGGAGCTGAGGTAAGAAGGTTTACAAGTATGGCACCTCTAGGTGGCCGGAAATGACCATCTCGCACTTAAATTTGAATATAATTTTCTTTTCTACCCCATTTTTTCATAATTTTGAAATATTTAGGGGGGCCCAGGCCGGCTTCCCCTTCCTTAAATCCGCCACCGATCTAGTTAAATGAGCTTTCTTAACTCATTTCATTTTATTTTGCTGCCCAAAGTGATACCTATCGGCACTGACATTTGTGAGAAAATTGATAGTAAAGCAGTGAAAACATGCAAAATTAAGAATTTGTGGAGATGGGTTAATTTTCGGGAGGTTCTTGCTTGCTTGTGGGAGTGCAGGTAGCTGTCCCGATTTTCGGGAGACTCCCACAAGTTCTGGGAGACATGGGACCCCTGAAATGAATTTTGTATTAATGAGAAAGTTCTAAAGATGTAGGAAAACTTTCTACATATTACTATTCTCCTGTACTTTCATCCTTTCAACTATTTGCCATAATCTTGAACATCATTCTAAAGAAGCAAGAACAACCTTATCCATCATTCTTCTTTCATTGTATTTTTCCATTAATTTATCATCTTGAATATCATTCTCAAAAGGCAGAGACAGCTTTTATTCTTTTCCTTTCCTTTCATCCTTCCACCTAGTGGTCAAGCTTTGGAACATCTTTTGAAGAAGTAGAGAGACAACTTTCTCTAACATCCATTCTTTTGTTGCACGCTTCTATCCATTTGCCATCCTCCTAAACATCTATATATACTATATATACTATATATGGGGCTATATATACTCCACATCATTCTATTCTTACATCCTATTCCTGCATCCTTCCATCTATTTGCTATTCTCTTGAACATCATTCTGATGACACAGGGATAACTTTCACCCCATTCCTCATCCTTATTTTAATCTTGTATCCTTGTCCACATTGATAATTCTGGTAAATACCACTTCACCCAACAAAAACATCCTTCCAATCAACTCTGGCCAATCGCATGACCTTCTTTGTACTAAAGTAATTTCAAAACATTATTATAGTAAAATTCTAACATCTATTACTATACATGGTTGCAATTATTGGTTGATATTAAAATTACAAGACAATAATTAATAAACCCTCCCTAGCGACAATGTCATGAGTGACATTGTCATTCCAGGGATGTAGTTATTGTGGGCAGAGGTAGACGGTGCCACCAAGCCTTGAATTTTCCCACCCAGTTGAGTTGAAAGCCAATTTCATGGCCCTTCCACCCACCTTCATTAACCTCCTTGCCCATCGTTAAAATACTCTTATTTATGGTGTTTACCAACCCACTAAGAATTTTTACCACCGACCCTTAATTTTCTACAGCTAAAACCCTGCAATTCTTAGATTATTTCTTCAGAGAATGCTAAAAAATAAGTCATAATCTAGGTTATGTCCCGGTTCTGAAAATAAATCATGTCACAATATGTTTCCTTTTGCTACACACAGTAGCTACCTACGAATTACTTCCTGATCCTAAAGGAAAATCATAGGAAAGTAATGTGGAAGTCTTTAAAATCCCAAGTACTGATCAAGTAAGTGAACACAATGGTGAACATAAGTAAAGCCTGGTTTCCTGTCGACGTAAGAAGGCAGATTTACTTACGACTACGTCGTTTTATCGTACCAAAATGCGATTTGACAGGAAACGTTACGTTGTGAAATCGACGTAACGTAAGGTTAAATCGTCGCAAAGCAATGTTGGACAGGAAACCGTCGTATTGAATTTTCATGCGATACGTCGATTTTCCACGATTTGACAGGAAACCGCGATTCAGTGACTTATTCTTGAGTGATCATGCTTGCGTTGCCTTGTGTTACGTCTCTTACGAACGTTGACTCCAAGTCAACTTTCGTAAGAGACGTAGCATTATGGACCAGAAATCGTAAGAAGCAGCCAATCAGATACGGAAATTATGACGTAGCCTTTATGACGTACCATATTTTGACGTGGCTGAAACTGGTCAGATTGTTCTACAGTAGAAAAAATATAGGCCCTATGAAAATTCTGTGTTTCTTGCTTCTTTGAGTAGTCTACCAATACGCCACACATCCACGCAGTAGCCTATACAATTGTGTTTGTTAATATTATTATCATTACTATACTGAAATTGAATTCGAAAATAAACAAGGATTTGTTTCAATTACAATCGTATAATACCAAGAGAATTGTTTAGAAATAAATCTATTGTCAACCATTCCTATTTCCAGTCCAGTGGTTGTATGAATTTTTTTTTAAATAGTTGGGCCTATAGGTTTAATCGGGAGAAATAATATATTTTAAATTGAAGTAATAATTAGGATCAAACAAGTGTTATTCTGGCATGCTTCAATAAACG